CCCACCCAGTCACATGGCTGGCAAGCCACTCCCACCCGGTCAAATGGTCAGCAAGCCACTCCCACAAAGCAGGCCACACCTACAGAAGAGGTTCTAAAAATTTTTGAAACCCACTACTGCCACAAATGTACAGTAACTGATTGAAAAAAGATAAAGATGGAAGACGTAGACTGAAAATCAGTAAAAATAAAATCTAATAAAACTATGAAACAATTTTGGATCATCATGACTCAGTAACCAACGATCTGGAAAACATCAACGTACATTCCGATATCAAAGATGGGAGACTTCATTGAGCCTGCAAATTATTTCAATGTCCTTCATTTCACACGCTAGTACAATAATGCTTGAGCTCATCTAATGCAGATTAAAGCTCTACATGGAATGGAAGAGACCAGATGTTCAAGCTCATTTTTGAGAAGGCAGAGGAACCTGAGACGTTACTGCTGGTGCGTGCTGAATAACTGAGGAAGCCTGAAGGCAGTTAAATATGTGTTTAATATATACATAGAGACAGAAAGGACCTTGATTGTGTTGACTAGGGCGGAATGTCCTTAGGACAATGGATTCCAGAACGTTTAATTGTCCTCACGAGAAACCTATGCACATATTGTGTTTTACAATCATCGTGGGAAGAGCTAACACCTTTGAGAAGTCCATAATGTTGAACAACGTGGAAGGCAAAAGGAGAAGATGGCCGACAGCGAGGATGGTGAACTCTGTGGTAAAGGGTGCACCCTCGGAAGACCTGAATGGAGACAGAACATCACGAAGAAAGTCCATCTACATGTTTGCTAGGAGTTGAGACCAACTTGATGGCTCGTAATCAATCGGTGTTTCCTACTACAAATCTACCTTTTAAAGTGGATACTTAACGCGTGGTTGTTTATTTGTAGAGGTAGCCCTCAATTTACAGCCACAACGGAGCTCCAAATTTATGTTACTAAGTGAGAATTTTGCTGTGGGAGGGTTGCCTCATTTTACGACTTTGCTTGCCGTGTTTGTCAAGTGAATCACTGCAGTTTTTAAATTAGTAACACGGTTGTTAAGTGAATCTGACTTCCCCCTTGCTTGTCAGAAGTTTGCAAATGCCAATCACTGCAGCGGTCATAGATGTGGTGGTCAACCTATGGCTTCAGCTCAGCTCCATCGCGTTTTTCCCATGGGGGGCGGAGAGAGAAAGGGAGAAAGAGAGAGGGAGGGAGAGAAGGAGAGAGAGAAAGAGAGAGGGAGAGAAAGAGGGAGAGAAAGAGAGNATCAACCATCTGTAGCCCTTATTCAGTAATGATATCGGCCTACAGTTTCTCGTTAAAATCAAATCTTGCCCCCCTTTTATAATTCTCTGGCGTTTTTTTTTTTTTTTTTTTTTTGTCCCTCTAAAATAGAATCCATTTTGTTTGGAAAAGTTTGTAAAAGTTCATCCTCAAAACATTTACAATAAAAAAAACCTGATAATCCATCTGGTCCAGGCATCTTCAGGGATTAATCTTTTTATATGGCTTCAGAGACTTCCCTTATTGTTAGAGATCCATTCATAATATGTTGCTGTTCCTTTGCAATCCTCAGTAAATTTTATTTCTTTAGATAATTATCTATTTTCTCTAGAAGGATGCCACTTCCTTTATACACGTAAGAATAATATTGATGTAATGCTTTTTTATATAGCCACATTATCCATTAATATAGTACCCCCCCTCTCTCTCTGGTAATTTCAATATCAATATATTTTCTATTTTTCTGCTACTTCTTCCCCCTCTTGGGAAAAGAATCACTTCTAGATTTCTTTCTGCTTTCCTCCCCCCTTTTTTTCTTTTCCTTTATGCAGTAGTACTTTGGTACTCAACTGCTTGGAAACTCTTCGAATTTGGTATTCAACACATTTTGACATAAAGATTTTGTCCCAATACTCATCATTTGTTTGGTACTGAACACACAAGCTAAAGCATGTCAGAGTCAACGGCCTTATGACTCATTACATTATCCCTTCTGGGCAAATCTGTTTGATACTCACCCTTTTTGGTACTCATCATGCCTCTTGGAACCAATCAACCACTGTATTGATATGTGTTAGCTTTTCTCTTCCTTTTTAAATTTGTATATGAGTTTTATGTTTAAGTTCACTCTAGAGCCGAGGTAGCGCAGTGGTTAGAGTGCAGTACTGCAGACCACTTCAGCTGACTGCTAACTGCAGTTCGGCAGTTCAAATCTCACCAGCTCAAGGTGAACAAGAGCCCCAGTGGCGCAGTGGTTAGAATGCAGTATTGCAGGGTCTGCCCACAGCCTGGAGTTCGATCTTGACCAACTCAAGGTTGACTCACTCTTCCAAGGTCAATAAACTGAGGACCCAGATTGTTGAGGACAACAAAGTGCTGACTCTCTAAAACCACTCAGAGGCTGTTGCAGAAGTCCAAAATGTAAGCTTAAATGCTTTGTTAATCTATATTATATATTTTCAAGAAGATCAGAAATCCACTTTGAAATCCTGAAGGCACTGATAGGGAATCAGAGGAACTTTGGAACAAAATGAATTGTTTCAAGTTGTTAGGGACGAATGCAAAAACAGGTTATCAAAGACCAAGAAACAGAAGAAACCAGACTAAAATGTGGAATAGCTTTTAAGTTAGCAGCTGGATTAAAGGCATGAAAAACAGAAGCGGACATTGAAGTCTCCCAAATGTTTCCAAACCCAGAAGGACATTCCAACCTCAAATTGCTATGTCAAAGGATACCAACAAACCAGGGGTGGGTTCCTGCCAGTTCTAACCTCTTCTATAGAAGAGGTTCCAGAAATCTACCGTGCCGTTTAGAACCGGTTCTAGCTCCCTCCCCCCCGCCCATCCGCACATCATCAAGATGAAGAGCGAGAGGAGGAATTCTGGGAGTTGAAGTCCACAAATCTTAAAGCTTTCAAGTTTGAACACCCCTGGGGTTTTTTCTCTCTAAAGGGTTAGGGGTGCAAGGCTCTTGTAACTTGACAGCTTTAAGACTTGCGTAATTCAAATGTCAGAGTTTCTGAGCCAACATGACTGGAGGAGGAATTCTGGGAGTTG